TGGGTGTTTTCAGCTACCTTGTCTTCCTAACCACTGATTCGAATTCTTCATTTAATCTGCTGTGATTCCTTCTAGTTTTTTTGTTACTGTATTTTTCATTTCTGACTAGTTCTTTTTTATGATTGTCTATGCTTACCATCTCCTTGCTGAAGTTCTAAGTTCCTTGAGCATTCTCATAACCAGTGTTTTGAACTCTGTATCTGGTAGGTTGCTTGCCTCCATTTCATTTAGTCCTTTTCCTGGAGTTTTCTCCTGTTCTTTCATTTGGAACACGGTTGTTTCCTCATTTTGGCTGCCTGTGTTTGCTTCCATGTAATTAGATAGACCTGCTATGTCTCCCAGTCCTGGCTGGGTGGCCTCGTATAAGTAGGTGCCCCGTGGGGCCCAGTGGTGCAGTCTCTGATCACCTATGCTGGGTGCTCCAGGAGTGTCCCTTGTGTGCGTTGTGTGTCCTCCTGTTGTAGCTAAGCCTTGTTTTGTGTTGGTTCATTAGTGGGTGAGACTGACCCTGAGGCTTACTGGCTCTTGAGGACTGGCTACACCCACAGTGTAGGAGCTTGGGGGGGGGCGCTGACCCCACGAAGTGAGATTCACTCCAGCAGGCTCTGGTGCCTGCCAAGACCACTCTTTGAGTATGCCAGCTGTGGGCTGATTACGTGGTGCTGTGTTGTGATGTGATGCCACCTGTGAGTGTGTTGGTCCTGGAGCCTTTTAGGAGGGGCTCCCGTGCAGGTCAGGGTCAGCCACTGCCTGTGACTGGCCTGAGGCTATGTGGTAGGAGCTACAAAGAGATATGTGGTTGATTGCTGCCTGTGCTGGACCTGAAGGGGTGTGAGAGAGGCAACACTGAACTGAGGCTGGCTGCCACCAGTACCAGGCCTGGGTCAGCTCAGCAAAAAGCCTAGGGTACCCCGAGGCCTGCTGCCATCTGCTGGCTGCCCATAAAGCTCAGCAACTAACTGAAAAAGCCTTGGTACATGAGTTGGGTGTGGTGTGGTTTCAGGGAGTCATCAGGGTGACTGGTATTCATTAAGTTAATGCAGATTTAGGTTTGGCACCAGTGCTGAGCTGGAGCCACTCAGCAAATAACTTGGAGCCAACCGAGGTTGAAAGTGCCTCTTGTGGTATGAGAATTGGGTGAAGCAGGGTCTCAGGGAGTTACCAGAATGGAGCAAGCAGGTTATACCAGGCCAATGCAGATTCAGATTTGGCCATGTTAGGGGAAGGCTCAACACAGGAAAGATGGTGCCGACTGCAGGCTGTATGGAAGGAGGGCTCAACACAGAGACAATGGTGGCTGTTCCTCCTCCAGCCCTCACCCCGAAGCTACACAACTCAGTCTCTCTCTGTCTGCCTCTGGCACCTCCCGAGCTACTGTCCCTCTGTTGGAGTTCAGGGTGAGCGCCTGGGAGCAAGAGAGTCTGTGTATAGGCCCTTTGAGAGGATACCTGGATTTCCAGCAGCCTTCTGTCTCATCCAGACCTATAGAATTTCTACTGTATTTTATAGCCAGATGTTGTGGGGGCTCCTCTCCCTGGCACTGATGCTCTGGTCTGGGGAGTCCAATGTGGGACTGGGACCCCTGGCTCCTCACCTCCACACCCATATCCCTCCCGATACTCAACTGCCACACATGGGTGTAGGCCTAGCCCATGTGGCGTTTCTGTCCCTCCTACTAGTCTCGATGTGGCTTCTTTTTATCCTTAATAGAGACTAGCTGAACTATTAAGTGATATTTTAAAAATGTAACATATTCACTCATTTCCTAGCAAAAATCAATAAAGTCATCAGAAAGCCACTATATAGATCACATTACTAAGCTCCCCAGGAACATTTCTTAGTGAATTATATTTATGTTAATGCTTTCCCCTCAAACCTTAAGTGAAACATCCATAAGGCATGACCAGATAGAAAACATTTTAGCATTAGGCAATTCCCACGTAATAAGCCTCCTTCAGAATCTAATGCTTCAGCTCTGGACCCTCTTTTCAGATTATAATTGCACATTCCTAAAAAAACCCTTTCCCGACCAGGAAGCTAAAATACACTGGCCTTCCTTTTCTGTTTTAATTTAAAAAACATATTCAGGAGTTTCCTAATTATCCCTCCTCCAGTGCCACACAACAAATATTCCCACGTACTTTAATTTATATGAATTTAGAAGTAAAAACATTAAATTTTTTTAGATGCAGAGATTTTAAACTTATATTAGCACAATTACTTTTAATCTCCTTACCTGCAACAAACATTTTACACACACACACACATATTTATGCAAATAAAATAGTAAATGTTCCATTATCTATCCCTATTTATTCCACTGGTCACCCCTTACCCCCATCCTGAGGGAACCATTATTTTTGGTGTACATCCTTCCTAATTTTTCCCTGTGCTCACACAGACTGATATACAGTTGACTCTTGAACAATATGGGTTGAACTGCATGGGTCCACTTACATGTGGGTTTTTTTCCCAGTAAATATACACAGTATTATAAATATATTTTCTCTTATGATTTTCCTAATAACATTTTCTTTAGTTTTTCATAAGAATACAGTATATAATACGTATACAAAAAATGTGTTAATCAACTATTTGTTACCAGTAAGGCTTTCAGTTAACAGTAGGCTATTAGTAGTTAAACTTCTGAGGAGTCAAAAGTTACATGTGGATTTTCGTCTGTACAAGGGATCAGTACGCCCAACCCCCATGTTGTTCAAGGGTCAACTGTATTAATACATCTATACACTGTATAGATATACATATTTTGATGTTAAATATGTGATAATACAGAATTGTTTTCACTTTTGCAAATCTTTTTTTCTGTTCTTAGCATGTGTATTTACATGGTTGAATTTACTCTAAATCTGCACTGTCCAATACAGTAGTCATTAGCCACATGTGGCTATTTAAATTATCTAGAATTAAACAATATAAGAAATTCAGTTTCTCAGTCTCACCAGCCACATTTCAAGTACTCAAGAGTCACACATGGCTTAGTGGCTGCTGTATGGACAGTGCAGAAATAAAACATCTCCCTCATCAAAGAAGTTCTACTGGATTATGCTGCCCTAAATACTAGTTGTATTATACTAATTTCAATAATAACATATACAGCTGACACTCTTTAGCCATGGTTTTGTTTTCTACAGTTTCAGCCACCTGCAGTCAAATGCTGTCCAAAAATATTAAGTGGAATATTTCAGAAATAAGCAATTCTCAAGTTTTAAACTGCATGCCATTCTGAGTAGTGTGATAAAATCTCCTGCCTTCTTGCTCCATCCTGCTCAGGATACAAATCATCCCAGAGTATTCACACTGTATATACTACCTGCCTGTTAGTCTTTAATAGCCAACTTGGTTATCAGATAGACTGTCACAGTATCACAGTGCTTGTGTTCAAATAGCCTTTAATTTTACTTAATAATGGCCCCTAAGTGCAGGAGTACTATGCTGGCAATTTGGATATGCCAAAGAGAAGCTGTAGAGTGCTTTTGTTTAGTGAAAAAGTTTTTGACTTAAAGAAAAAAATTGTATGAAGTTACTAAGATCTATGGTATGAATGAATCTTCTATCTGTGAAGCTGCCTAATTTATAAATTAAACTTTATCATAGGTCTGTATGCATAGGAAAAACAGTATGTATAGGGGTTGGCACTATTCTTGGTTTCAGGCATCCACTGGGGGTCTTGGAATGCATCCCATGTGGATAAGGGCAGGGGGTAGGGCACAAATGTATCATAATTTTTAACTTGCTAATATGCTGCCTTAAAATCTGGGGGTAAAGAGTAATATATGTAAAAAAATTTCAGTTTTGTTTGAAATAAAAGTGAACCTTCCAACGGCCTCTGACCTCTGCTCCTGTTTCCTTCCTTACAACCACTGTTCCCAGTTTCTTATGTGTTTTCATAGAGGTACTCTATATTCAGTCTTTAAATCATTTATTCATAACACATTTTGCTAAAAATCTATATGCCATGCCTTATATGCCAAGGATACATACAGCTGTGAACAAGACAAAGTTCTTCCCATCAAGGAACTTATATTCTTTGAGAATAGATCATAAATAAGCTAATCTATAACCATAAGAAGTATATTTTAAAAAGAGCAGTCTTTTTGAGGTGACATTTAAGCAGAGCAGAAGTGAGGATGAAAGAAAGTCATGTGAGGATATGGGAGAAGAATGTGCCAGGCAGTGGAGCTGAGAACTCCAAAGATCCTGAGGCAGAAACAAGTTTCTTGTGTTGAAGGAATAGTAAGAAAGCCTGTGTGGCCAGAATGCCATCAAGTGGCAGGAGATGAGATAAGATAGGCAAGGCCTGAACATAATGCCTTGTAGGACTTATTCTAACTGTGATGGGATGTCATCACAGGATTCTGAGCAAGAGTGCTGTGATATAATTGACATTTTAAATAAATCGCTTTGCTTGCAGTATGGAAAACTATTAGAGCAGGATAACCAATTGGATGCCTGTTGCAGTAATTCAGATGAGTATAAACTAAGGTAGTAGTGACTGTAGATGGTGAGAAGTGGTCAGATGGAACATTATATTTTGTGGCAAGGAAACAATTAGACTTGAAGAATAGGGGTTGGAGTAGAGGGAGAGATTATCTACAAATGGATAGCACAAGTGAATTTCTTGGGGTGATAGAATTATATCTTGATTGTGGTGGTGGTTAGACAACTCCATGCATTTGTCAAAACTCATAGACTTATATCCAGAGTAAATGTATCATTTATAAGCTGTGTGACTTTAGGGACATTATCTAACTTTCGAAGCCTCGGTTCCCCTTACAAAGTGATAACTGCCTACACATCACAAAGTTGTTGTAAGGAGTAAATGAGATAATGCTGAAAAAGAACTTTACATTGTATCTGGCCCCAAATGTTATCCTTTAATAATTGTCACTATTAAAGTATGACAGTCTTTCTATACAACACTTCTTTACATAGAAAAGTTAGTTTTTGTCTGTCATGTGGAAATTTATTGCTATACATACTGTACTGTCCGGTGCTAGTCTGATAGATGGGAGTTGGAACAGACATAGAAGTAACAGCAGAAACTCCAGGGTTTTCTCCGTCTCCTTTTCTGCCCCGTGTATCTTCAGAAGATAGGTCTTTCAAAATTTTTCTGTGAAAAATAGAACTCTATTAATGTTGGTAAAAAGGACAGCTTTACCAAAAAAAAAAAACAACAACAAAAAACTGCTAAATAAACTGTTTTCAATCTCTGGTTAAAAGTACAATAATCTACTAGGCACCTAAAATGTGTCAAGGAATCCTTTGTCTAGCAAATACTATTGTTCTGGTCTACAGCAGGCTAGTTATATTTTAGTTCATTAGTATTTGAAAAGAGACACTGAATGAAAACTCATACAGAGTGCCTTTAGATGTACAAGGCCCGTATAGGGGTATAAAATACAATTTTCTCCAACAGGAGAGATGGCTCCATTTTGAGGTATTTCATTAATTAACAAAGTACCATTCATTTTCTAAACAGTGTCAGTGACCTTGTTTTAAAAAGATCAAATTTATTTTTTCAACCTTCAACTCTGTAGTGGAAGAGAAGCCCACAGTTCTCAGAAGAAAAAAAAATTAGAAATACTTTAAAAATACAGAGTATTGGTGATAAAACTGCTTATTTTAACAAGAAGAAGTAAATAAGATCCCACAGAATCCCTCAGACTTGGTAAAATGGGACTCATGACAGGAATAAGGGATGGAAAAAGCTTCCTTGCCGAAAAGAAAGGTCTTCCAAAACACAATCAGGGGAGGAGGGAGAAATAAGCATTATTTGTTTCTGGAAAAATAAGAAAAATGTTTACTCAAGAATTCCATGTTCACTGTAGAAAAAAAAATCGGAAAACTGATATGTACTTGTGTGAACACAGTTAACAAAAAAGAATCACAAAAGAAAAATCCCTTAGCATTAAAAGGGAGCTTTCATGTTACTATGTTCCAGCCCGTGAAGAAATTCCCTCTCTACATTCCTAACAGCATCTACTTCCAGGAATAGGCATCCACAAATTCCAAAATGCAAACGATGCAATTACTGAAGAGTCAGAGCCCTTATCAGACCCAAAGCTGGTTCTACCCAGTAAAGCTGGAGAAATTTAAGCTTGAGATAATCATAAGTTTTTTTTTTTTCTATGAATATGTTAAAGCAATCTTGCATTCCTGGGATAAATCCTGCTTGATCATGGTAATATAATACCTTTTATATGCTGTTGGATTCAGTTTTCTAATAGTTTGTTTAGGATTTCGTGTTTAGATTCATGAGGAATATTACAGTTTTATAATCTAGTGAGTATAAGCCATGTCTTATTATAATTATTAATATCTATTACAATTTTATTATTTGCTTTCTGGTTTTTATTGTTAAATTCTTCTGCATTGAGTTATTTAAAGATTTTTCAGAATTATCTATCTGACTAAATCATATGTATAGTATTTTTAGTAGTCGCTCTAGAGTGTTATAATACACATACATACCTAGTCTACTTAGAATCATTATTTCACCACTTCAAGTGAATCTTAGAAATCATACCACCATATGAAATTTCTTTATCCTCCCCTCTGTATGTTGTATAATTAAAAAAAATTCTTTTATAGTTGACATACAATATTTTGTTAGTTTCAGGTGCACAACATAGTGATTAGATGTTTACATACCTTACAATGCAGTCGTCTTATTTATTACACCTGCCTACATCGAAAACCCCATCAATGATTTATCTTTTCAACCATCAAACATTTTAAAGAATTCAGTAGAACAGTCCATTATATTTGCCCAAACCTTGCTGTTTCTTCATTCCAATTCTTCCAAATTTCTATCTTATGAACTTTCTTAGCAGTTATTTTAGAGCAGTTCTGCTGTCAATGATTTCTTAGTTTTCTTTCATCTTAGAATATTTCACCTGCATTTCTGAGGGATATTTTTACTAGATACAGAATTCTGGATTGACAATTCTTTTCTTTCAGAACTTTAAAATGCTATTTCCTTTCCTTCCAGCCTCCATGGTTTTTGACAAGAAATCTGTAGTCACTCACATAGTTCCTTTAGAAGTAATGTGTCATTTTTCTCTGGCTGCTCACAAGATTTTTGTCTTTAGTTTTCTGCAGTCCGATTATGATGTGTCTGGAAAGGGATTTCTTTGTGTTTACCCTGTTTAGAGTTTGCTGAATTTTTTAAATTGTAGGCTTCACCAAATTTGGGGACATTTCAGCCATTATTTCATCAAGTATTTTTTTCTGCAACATTATTTTTCCTCTCCTATGACTCAAATGTTAGATCTTTTGGTACTGTCTTACAAGTCCCCAAGAATTTGTTAATTTTTTCAGATTGTTCAGCTTGGATAATTTCCATTGAGCTACCTTTGAAGATGATTAGCTCCTTATCTCTATTCTCTTACTGAACCCATCCAGTTAGGTTTTATTTCTGTTAATGTATTTCTCAGCTCTAAAATTTCTATATCGTTCTCTTTTTCTATCTTCCCATTCACCCTTACTTGTTAGAACACTTTAATAACAGCTCCTTTGTAACAGCTCCTTTGAAGTCCGTCACATAATTCCAACATCTGTCATCTAGGAGAGAGCATCTGCTGACAGTTATGTCCTATGCAAGTTAGATTCTTCCAGGTTCTTTGTATGCTAAGTAATTTTGGACATTTTTAATATTGTGATATCCTACTCAGTTCTTGTTTCTATGGAGAATTTTTGATATTCTCATTTTAGCAGGCCATCAACCTGGTTGTGCCCAGGCCACAAGTTCTGATCAACCTTCTATGGGTTGTGATTCCAAAGTCAATTCAGATTTCAAAGCCTTTTCAGTGCAATTCCTATCTGGTCCACGTGTTCCCTATGTAGTGGCCAGTCTGGGACTTTAAGCCATCATCTTCCTAATATATATAGTTCAGTCTCAAAGTCAATGTATACTAAGGAAGCCCATTTTTATTCCTTATTTGCTAAAAACTTGAGTGAGTACTAAATTTTATCGACCGCTTTTTCTGCACTTTTTGAGCTGAGAATTAGCAGAAACAATATATAATCATCTATAGTGGTTCATTTCCTTGTATGTTTGATGATTTTTCACTGAATTCATATTTGATTGATCTTAATTGGTAGTAATCCAGAAAGTTTAATTTGGGGAAACTTCCTTTCAGATGTTATAGCTTTTTACAGGTATTCTAGCTTAATACAGAAATCTCAGGTTCAGACTTACTGCAGTAGACCTAAAGTAATGGGTATATCTTGGTTTTTGTGCTTGTTTTTACTTCCCGTTCTGGTTTCAGCTCGTATATTTGAATATATATGGTTTTTATGTTTACTAGGGGAGGGTACTGAGATTTCTATTATTTCCCATATATGTACAATGTATTAACAATTTTTTTTTATCTAGGAGCTGTTTTGTGCTGGGAATTTTTGGAAATCCCATTTTTTGGAAATTAAACTTTTTATTTGCACTCTTTTGGTGACTGCCACTAACAGTCTAAGCTAAGTCTAAAGGTAATTAATACAAAACTTCAATAGACCTGTTGGAGGAGGTAAACCAGAGGACGTGACTGCTGGTTGACTCACAAGCCAGACCTGGACAATCAAATGCTCCTCATCCCCTCCCCCGTCCTTGGAAAGTATGCGCTGCCTACCACTCTCAGTGGGAGCTCTTCCAAGGACATAGCCTTGGGAGACTAAGGTGTTGCTGAGACCATTTGGACAACATGTGTGACTGAACCCAGTTAAGGCCTCTATATATACTCTTAAGATTCTGGTGGTAGAGAAGAGATCTATTCATCTTGCAGCCACCCCAAACAAGCCTTGTAAGTAAGCTCCCTTGCTTACCTGCCAATTTGGAGTGGTCTGCCTCTTTCTTTAGTCTCCCCTTGCCCTCCGTGTATGGGCCAGTTTGTGAACTAACAATTGGCAAGCCAGCCAGGAGACTGGAGAAATAGGCCTTGGGGAAGAGGCATCTGCAAGGGAAATCCTGAGTTGGCCACTGACCTCTATGTGGTTTGTATGCTTGTGGAACACTACATCAGTATGGGGATACCCCCAAAACACTAGCTTCTTTAGTGCTTTTAAGAAACTGCACATAGCTCATTGCAGCAAAGAAAAAAAATGGCTGCCACAGTGGGCTGGCCTATGCTGTGGGCAGTTTGGCTGGCCACCAATGCCCAACTTGAGCTTTAGCTCAAGAAAGTTTGAGGAAGGGCTGAGGTGAGAGAAGGATGTGCAGCTGTCCACTACTCTGCTAGCTTTGGGACTAGAAGAAGACAAGGTGGCAGGAAAGAAAAAAAGCTAGCAACCTTAATGTGCCATTTTGCAAAGCTAAGAGATCACAAACTGTCATAGAATAAGATCTGAGTGCTGTGACAAAGCCTAATTAAGATGCTAAGAGGTAAAATCCCTGGGAAAGTGAGGAGAGCAAAGGGGAGGATGAGCGGTGATTGATGATGAAATGAATAGAGTGACCTATGTGGCCTGACCCCTAATACAAAGGAACATTTTAAACACTAATTACACTAGACTTCTGATAACAGAAAAATACATCTCAAAACGTGTAGGAAAAAAACTTGCATTCTTTCTGTCCCTTGAAGATATAAATCTTATGTCTGAAATGTAAACACCCCAGGAGATAAAACACTGCCCACAGAGACTGAAAAAAAAAGTGGGGGTGGGGGGAGAGACTTTTTAAAATACAGACTGCTGTAGAAGCTCCTTGCCCAAAATCTAGTCCAAAACCTTTGTAAGATTACTCAGGGGCAAATACTAATCTTAAAAGTCTTCTCCACAAATACCAGTAAAAAGCTTTACCCATGTAAGCAGGTAATTGTTCTGTCTGCCAGAGACAATTTAAATTCAACTATTATTTATAAACTATGTTGTTGTACCTAATTCATGGCTAAAGTTTTAGGAGAAAGAATGGAGTCTCTGTTCATGTATGTCTATGGATATATGTTATATACACATAATGTTTTTCTACCTCTAGAGTATATTGCCAAAATTAATTTGTAAAAGAGCTCTACTTAAAGGGCTTGAAGAAAAATAAGTTTTAATATAGACAGTGTACTTATGTAAAACTAAATTTTCAACTCCTGGTCAAGATGGTGGAATAGGTAAACACTGTGCTTGCCT